CCTACTACACAAAAGAAGCACCATCTTATATTATATAGAAGCAACATCCAGCAACCATACCAAAGGATCTTCTACTACACAGAAGAAAGTAAACTTCATCTCCTACTTCACAAGAGAGAAGTTATAGCAACCGAATTATGGAGAATCTCCTACTTCACCAAAGAGTCTCTGTCTTCTACTACATAGAAGCAAAATCCAAAAACTGCACGAAAGAAATCTCCTACTACACCGAAGAAACTAAACTCTGAATGTAGAATTTGACCATTGAGGTGTTTTCTTTCTACACGGTGGAGGATGTCCAAGGTCTCAATATATTATACTTCTTCATCTTAGAAGCATCCCCATCTTTTACTACACAGAAGAAGCACTCAACTAAGGAGAAAGAATCTGGAACGGTTTGCCAAACATGGACTGAACCTTGGAAAAGAAGTCAAACAAGTACCATACTTCATACTTCAACCCTTTCCAGTCTTTAATATCCAAACCAGGTGCCCCAGAATAGGAGACACATCTAGCATTTATATCAAAATTAGGGGAAAACTTTATGGAAAGATGACCCAAAGCACGAAGCTTAATCAACTGAGCTTCCAACACACGAGGAAGTAACTGGATGCAAGGCATTAAGATTGTATCAACATGCTTCTCAGGTTTCTTCTATCTTATTTGATAAGCTTTGCCCCATGGGTTCACTTGAAGACCAAAAACTAGCCGCTGGCGAGAAAATCCAGGAACACGAAGTTCTGGGCGAGACCCATAAAAGCATCTCTCCATTTGAAAAAAATGTCCCATAGGTTGGGGATGAATGACAACTCCTGTTGCAATAGCATATACATGATCAATTTTCTTTGCTGACACTGTCTTCAAAATTTCCATACCTGACTTAACTGAGTCTTCAACTGGTTATCCTTTCCCCTTAAGGATTTCTGACCATGGGCTAAGACCTGTATGTCCATAGTAAACAGCCCCATCTAATTTTTTCATCTCATCATCTCATCCAATTCCCCACAAAGTTATTCCATGGCTTTTTCAGACAACAGAGCAGTGAGAAGTCAAGATTCACAGTTCTGACAAGAGAATACCGAGTCTGAAGAAGGATTCCCCATTTTTAGTACCTTCTGAGTACCTTCTATGGATGCATGAAGATGCACGAGGTTAATGACGGATGCAATGCCATGTTCAAACATCTTTTTTTTATGCATACAATCTTTCACATTTCATTTTTTTGTGTAAAATAAACATGTTATGATGCAAGGAGCAATAACATAGGTTCAAAAGTTCAGCATAATAACTGCACAATCCTCTGGATAACTACTGTATCAATCTGCTGCATAATCTGGATATCACAAGATCAAATGTTTGACACCAATTTCAGAACACAATGGAACCAAGTACCATGAATAATCGTTGTATAATCTCTGGCCAAGTTGAATATATCAAGATCAAATGTCCAGAACATAACCAAATAACCATAGTCACCGATAGAACACAACAGTCACCATCAGAACATAGTCAGCATCTGTACCTGTAATAATCAAGTCCCTCCCCACTCACGAGTGAAAACTAGGTCAGGGTAAACAAAGGTAACTCAAAATCACGGGTTCGCTTGAGATTACTATCATCATACACCTACGTGATAACGATAACACCTTATTAAAACCTCATCTGAGCATGGACGACACAACCGTCTAGGGTAATATACATCCCTTATCCGTCGTTTTCCACTCTATTCCTAGTGTTCCCGTGGTTTTCACTTGTCCTGGGTATTGGGCCTTTTACCTCATAGTAACACCCATCCAACAAAGAAACACGGAAACCACCACAACAATAGTATATGGAAAACAATAAAGATGCAATGCAAACATATGCTCAGATAAATATGTACAAATGAATAAACTAAAAGCATAAAAATAAACACCCAAAGAGAAGAAAACAAGAGCTAGGATCGACTCTGGGATGGACCAACATTTGGTTGATCTGTCCCCAGTGAAGTCGCCAGCTGAATCAACCGGCTGAATAATCAACTAATAATGAAATCAATGAAGTCGCCATCGAACATTTTTTATCCCACAAGAAGGGAAAGGTAGACATCAAGAAAACCTGAGGGGGTGAAATCACAATCAAACGACTGAGAGATCGGGTAAGGGAGTATGTTACGCGAGGGGAAGGTATTAGCATCCCACACGCCCGTAGTACTATACGGTATCCACTCTTGTTGTTCTAATCAAAGAATGTGTAAGAGTCTATATCTAAATTGTATAGGGAATGCATGCAAAAGAAAGGAGAAAAGAATGTAGGGAAAATAAAAAGTTATGCTTGTTCGGGCCCTACCCCAATGCCTACGTATCCCTTTTAAGGAATTAGAGCAACCGTAGTTCGGGTTCAAATGTTTCTGTTGGTTTGTATTTTTTTAATGAACAATATTAATTTCGCCTTCTGCCGCAACTCGACCTTTGGAGACTTACACGTCAGCACAAAAGTGAATTAACATGCTCTTTCTGAAAAGTTTGAAAGAAAAGCCAGAAGGCGCAAAAGAGTTTGCATTGATTGATATTTTTTAATTTAAAGAAGGATTTGGAAGTTGTTAGATGTTTTATATTTTTTCAAGAAAAGAGTTTTTGTTTTAAATGCAATTATGCCAAAAATAGGGAGAAAACAGTTAAGGGAGACTAACCTATCTCTATCCCTAATGTTATGATACAATGGTGGTCCTATGGTTGAGTTTTAAAGGGAAATCTCTAACCTATCTTGACATACTTGGATAACAATCCTAATGTCTACCTCAAATCATCATCTATAGATGAATCAAGAGGTCCTAAAGGAGCATAACAAGGGTCTATCACCTAAAACTATGTCTATCTCCAATCATCATATATAGTCAAATCGAGAGCTCCTAAGGGAACATGCCGAGGGTATATCATCTCAAAACATGCACACAAAGATGAAATCCAACAAGAAAGCCAATAATCTCAAGAGAGCATAACTAGAGAGATCCTATCTAGACTAGCATACCAAATAAAGTTTAACAAAACTATCCTACGGGGAACATGTAATGAGAGCGAAGTCGTGATCTCAATTTCTAGATTGAGTGACTCATCGATCAACCAAAAATAAAGGAAAGCGATAAAATCCTATAGGGAGTATGCACTGAGAGCGAAGTCGTGATCTCAATTCCTAAATTGAGTGACTCATCGATCAACAACCAAGGAAAAAAACACAAGCACAACACATATAGAAAATAAAGTGCGGAATGCCCGCTAAAGGTCTTTAAACAACGACTTTGAGAGCACACTCTTTATTTCCTAATTCTCATGATATCTAGAAATAAATAAAGTGTGAAATGAGATAAATAAGAGAAAATACCAAACATATATCAATCCGTAGCGAAGCGTATCAAAACAAAGAAACCCGACGATCTTCGCGAAAGCTTCACCAATCCAAGAAAAGAGTCAGAAATCAAATGCTCGAAATAAGTGTCGAAGCATCATCGATGTGAAAATAAATCACAATCGAAATCCCAAGCGCATCCGTATATCACGCGATAAACCTGCATTAGACTCAAATCTCAACAAGCCAAGGTGAATCACAAATTTCGAATAATCGGATAACCATGAATTAATTCCTAAAAAAACAAGTAAAAATCTAACAAATTTTTATATTTGATTTTATTATTTTTTATCATCAATTATTATTCCTAATGTTATTATCTAGGAATTAAAAAAAAGATTAAAGAAAAATTTAAGCAAACTCTAAACTGAGGGGGGGGGGGGGGGGGGTTATATGTATTGGAATATGAGTGTGAATTCAGCGACCACTCCAGATACTAAGACTAGAAGTTATGGCCCATGACTGAATTTTTGTTATGCTTACCAAGGTTCTACCAAACAAAATTTTGTAGTATATGGGCCAAAAGGGGTGTGTACGGTCCACGGCCCAGCCATCATCACCTAAATTCTCTACTTCTGCTTATAATTGAACTATTAGTAATAAAACAATAAAAAAGAAGAAAAAGAAACAGAGTCATTTTAGATGAAGAAAACATAGGTTAACATTGAGACGATTCAACTTCGCGATACATCTTCTCAACCGCCTTCTTCCTCAACTTTGTAAACAAAGCGGCGCTCGATTCCTTCTTCGATCGGACCGATTCCACCACTTCACCGCTATTACGGCCGCATACCCCTTTTGTCTCATCTCTCTCAGCTTTTTTCTCTTGCGATTTTTGGCCGCAGCAATTACTTTCCGATCTTCACCTCTGTCTCAAATCAACGGTTTCATTTTCAGAACAAGCCACCAAGCAAACCTCATACACCATGGATCCTCGGCTGTGACCTATGCGTTTCAGAAGACTCGGAAAAAAGTGGAAGGAATCTAAGATCAAATCTTACCTACCAAGGAGAAATACGGTGTTTTGTTTCTTCTTTTAATTCGTTGCATCTTCCTCTCACTTCTTCATGTTTTCTGTACTTTGTCGTTATTCTTGTAAACTCAGCGGCGCGTTGATACAAGAATCATGAGAATGTTGATGAAGACGATCGAGGAACGTTGAAACTAAATTGATGGAGACTGAATGTTGGTGAGGAATAATGAAGAGTCAATCGAGAATCTTGGTTGATAAACGATTCCGCGAACAAAAACAGAGATGATTGAAGTTACGCTTGATACAAATTGAAGGTTGAAGTGGATTGTAGAGAGTTGATGGAGATGCCGAGGTAGATGATAGAGAAATTCAGCGATCAAGAGCGATGAAGATGTGAAGAATTCTCAGAGAGTTGGAGAAGAAATCGTCGAAGGTTGAAGAGGAAAAGCATAGAGAAGAGAGAGGTCCTTTTTTATGATTTTTTCTGAATGATTCAAGAATGGTGAAGAGAAAGTTCTATACTGGTAAACCTTTAGAGAATTCCTAAATCCAATCAATCTGGTAAGTTTCTTTTATATAATTCTATTAGAAGCTTTATTATCTGTAATTGATTCGGTTATGGTTAGTTAGGAATTGGTTAGTTATGGATTCTGTTATAAACCGAATGGTCAGGATTTGTTATGATTTTGACTTAGTTATGAGTTGGAATTCTGAATCTGTTTCTCTCCCTTTCTGTCATGACTTAAAATGGCCAGCTCATGTTGTTTCGATCACTTATTTCACAATTTTTAGATATCCTTTTTACCTCTTTTCCTGATGTTTCTTTTGTTTGATTTTGTTTTCTTCAGTGAATAGAGGCGTGTTTTAACGTGTATCTGAACTGAACTTGAAGGTGCATATGGAGTGAATCTTGAGCGGTTTAGAATGTGAATCTGGGCTGCATACACAAGCCGACTCTGAATGCAGATATAAAGGTGAATGGAGATTGAAATGTGGACCTGATACATGCGAGGTAACGTTACTCTAAACTGAACTATGTTGGAATACCTCGAACTGTTATGCACTGATGGAATTAACTTGGCTCACATTTAAATTTCTGAATTGATCATATGTGGTTAGTTGATGAAGCCCCAATCTGTAAGGGAATCCTGGCCGAGCTGTTAGTTTCCGTTGGTTACAGAAATTATGTTAGGAGGTTAGAGGGAGTTAGCTAGGCAGTTAGCATTCAATTTTTTTTCCTGTTATTAGGTTAGAGCTGGAAAACAGTTAGGAAATTGGTTTAGAAAACAGTTAGGGGGTTAGTTTAATTTCTGACTTGTTGCAAGTTAGTTAGTTACTGATTTTGTGCTTTGCTAGTTTTTTTGAAATGTGCAGGGCTACTTGTCATTTTTGTATTAATGAAGGGTAATTGGTTTTGCAACTTGTTTATAGAGAGAAGTCAGTGAAGTCATGGAGAAAAGATGAAAAGATCCTGAAAAGTGACGAATCTGGCAAATTCGGTTAGCAAGCTTGTTAGGAACTCAGTTAGGAAAAAACTAGTACTTCTGTTATGAATAATTCCTGATTGAATTTTCTGTAATGAATATGTGAACTGAAGTGGCTTTAGTGCTTGTATTATACGCTGATTCTTTCTACTTTTCTGGTTTACAAAATGCAGGGCTGGGTCTGATGTTGGAACATGGAGAATGATTGAAATTAGGATAGACTTTGTTAGGTTTAAGCTTTATTGTAGCTTTGAACTAATTTGAATATATCTTGTAATTGAACTATGTAATGGACACATATGGAATTTGTACAGGTTTTGAATGTAATTTGAACAAAAATAGTGTATGATATTTGAAATTGAAAGGACTTGGTAAATTTGTAAATGAACGAACTTGTTGGAATTTTTGTTGAATACGGAATGAAAAGGTTTTGAAATGGTTAATGGAACTTAAAATTGAAATTGGATGAAGAACTTTGCTGGAAATTTTGACTAGAATCAATTGGAACTTGAATCTTCCACTTGAAATTGAATGTGGTCTCATGCCTTGAATAACGTTTGAAATGTTGTATTATTTCGCCTTGGTAGCTTGAATTTCAAGAGATCAACCATGGATGGATCTTCTAATTTACATGCTTGATTAATGCACCTCAAACTCAATTGAAACCATAAGTCCAAGTTAACTCGTGAAGAAATCCACATGAACTTTCTTCCAATACTAGTATGAATCAACTCTTGACAAACATGTGCTTGAGAACCTTAACTAATCTTGAGACCATGCCTTATAACCTTTGCGTTTACTTGTACCCTGCATTTCAGGAAATACTTATGACACTTGCACCTTAAGAAACTTGAATGGATACTTCCTTAATCAAATCCTCAATTCCCCATGAAACTTTAACTTGCATTACAAGTAATAACAACTCGAGAGAACAATAATCCCTCGAGGAATCCTTTAAAGAAGAAAGTAGCCTTAACAACACATTAATGAGAAGGTTCCATGAGAGCTTGAAGGGGACTAAAACTCAAGCCTAAAACATTCTCAATTGAAACATGATGAAGCATTAAGAACAATAAGTTAAAACCCTTAATGCTTTTGCTCTTTGATGTATATTGGTGGAGATGATCTGTATCTTGGGGAATCTTGTCAATGAGGACATCCATGATGCTTGTGATCCAAAACCCTAATACCAAGAGCCCTTTGATCCAATGTTTTAAGAAGTAAAATAAATGAAATGATTTATGATGCAAATGCATATGATGTTATGAATGAGCATATTAGGGGTAAAAACAGGGTATGGAAATTGCAGGAATTTTAAATTCTTAATGACCATGACTCACAACCCTAATTCCACTGCCCAAATGCGTGAAGAAGAAACCAGCCTTTATTGGATACGAACGCCTTAACCAGTGTAAAACCCTTATATTGCACAAACGCTGAACTTTGAACCAAAGAGCTATATTAAATGAAATGTACGCCCTGTTAATGACCTAATGCAAAGATGCGAATGCGATGCTAAGCCTAATCTAGATATAGAGAAATTAGGAGGACAAATTTTGGGGTACAACAAATCTAAACTAGATTATATTCAGTTAGGTTCCCTAAACCCCCTATTAATTACATTATTAGCCTTAGATTTATGTAGTAACCTAAGATAACGATAGTTCGAAATTTAGTCCCTTGGGATTCGATAATATTTAAAGCTACACGCGATAGGACTGTTTACTTGTAGTCTAGATTCTTTAAGACTCATAAAGTCGCGATCAAGTTTTTGGTGCCATTGCCGGGGACTAACAAGTAGATATCGTAACTCTTTTAGTTACGATGTAGAGACTAAGGCACCATTCCTAATTGTATGCCAAGCACTCACTCTAAAGGAGAAGGCTTAGTGCTACCAATTTCTGAACCTGATCGCTCTATTTATAGAAGACACCGAGTACGACTATCTCGTATAAGTCAATCCCTCTCTCAATCTTCTATCCCTGCCGAACCAATTGAAGAACCAGACATGGGTGATCAGCCACGTCTGCTCAAATCTTATGCTATTCCTTCGTAGGAAGAACCACATAACAACATTGCTGCTCCTCCAATTGAGGCTAATAACTTCGAACTCAAACCTTCCTTGTTGTCTGTTGTACAACAAAACCAGTTTTCTGGAGGGTCAATGGACGACCCTAATATACATTTATCGATGTTTCTGAAATACGCAGATACAATTAAGAACAATAGAGTCAGTCAAGAGGCGATAAGACTTCGTCTTTTCCCTTTTTCCCTAAGAGACAGAGCCCGAGCCTGGCTCTAGTATCTACCAGCTAACTCGGTTACCTCTTGGGATGAGTTGAAGAAACTGTTTCTTGCAAGATATTTCCCACCAAGTAAGATAGCTATGCTAAGATCCCAAATAAGCGATTTTCGACAAAAGGACAATGAGTCTCTTTTTGACGCTTGGGAAAGATACAAAGACATGCTGAGGCTCTGTCCACATCATGGCCTAGAAGAATGGTTAATCATCCATACCTTCTACAATGGTCTCCTTTATAATACAAGATTAACGATAGACGCCGCCGAGGTGGCACACTTATGGATAAATCCTATGCTGCTGGTTATGCTCTCATAGAAAGTATGGCTCAAAACCATTATCAGTGGGGGAGTGAAAGAGGTCAAGCAGACAAACCTTCCGTAGAGAAAGCACCAATAAAAGGCGGTATGTACGAGATCAACAGTCTTGATAACGTCCATACTAAGGTAGATGCTCTCATCCAGCAGATAGATAATTTAATCGTAGTACCTCCAGCCATCGTGGCTGCTATAACTCTGAATTACGAGATATGCGGAGTACCTGGACATGCTGCTGCTGAATGTAAAATCTTAGCAGAACCCCCCCTCCCGACAAGTACATTATGCTCAAGGAAACCCTTACTCGAACACTTATAACCCTGGATGGAAAAATCATCCAAATTTCTCATATAAGAACACCAATGCGTTGTATGCGCCTGGCCAAGCATCTACTGTACCACCAGGATATCAAAAAGCACATGCAGCTGCTCCTAATATGCCTAGGAAGTCTAACCTCAAAATTCTAATGGGAAATTTTATAGATACCCAAGCTCAAACTAACAAGTAATTTCTAAACCAAAATATTCGCACTAGTGAGCAAATCAAACAGTTAGTGAACAAAGTAGATGCTTTAGCCACCCATAACAAAATGCTTGAAACCCAGATTTCCAAGTGGCCCAACAACAAGCACCTACTGCTACACCTGCTGGTATGTTTCCAGGTCAACCTCAACCAAGTCCAAAAGGACATGCTTATGCTATTATATTGCAAAGTGGAACTGAATACGATGGACCAATTGATCCTAGAGCTGAAAACCCAGCCATGTCCCAAAGTTCTAGAAAAACAACCGAGGAGGAAAGCAAACCAAAATACAAGGAGAAGGTAGGTGATGGAGGGATAGAAGAAAAGGAAAAACCTTATGTGCCACCGCCGCCTTACAAACCACCAATCCTGTATCCTCAAAGACTTGCTCAATCTAGAAGTGTGGGGAAATTTAAGAAATTTGTTGAACTTCTGAAACAATTAAACATCACGATACCATTCACAGAAGCTATCACTCAAATGCCCTCGTACACTAAGTTTCTCAAAGAAATCTTGTCAAACAAGAAAAAGGTAGAGGATAACGAGAGAATTACACTCACTGCTGAGTGTAGCGCAATCATTCAGAACAAAATTCCTCAGAAGCTGAAAGATCCCGAAAGTTTCTCTATACCCTGTAATATAGGTAAGTATGTCATAGACAAAGCTTTATGCGACTTAGGCGCTAGTATCAGCAATATGCCCCTGTCCATATCCAAAAGGCTTGACATGGGAGAGTTAAGACCAACCAAGATGTCAGTACAACTAGCGGATCACTCTGTCAAATACCCCATGGGAATTCTAGAAAACATTCTGGTACACATATGTCAATTATACATCCCTACAGATTTCATCATTATGGACATTAAAGAAGACAACGTAACCCCTATAATATTGGGAAGACCATTTTTAGCTACTGCTGGAGCCTTTATAGATGTTAAAAGAGGAAGCTAACTTCTGAAGTTGGAGAAAAGAAAGTTGAGTTTATCCTGACACAGTTCCTATAGGCCCCAACTATAGATGATACATGCTATCTATTAGATGTAATAGACGAATGTGTCAAAGAGATGGAGTCAGGAGAAGAAACTCATTCCGAAACTATGAAGATTCTGATGCCCCTAATTTTTGAAGATGATGATTGGTGTCCCGAATATCGAGATGACGATTTAAGAGAATGCCTAGCACTGACACCAAATCA